CATTTATAATGAAGAAAATTTTTTTCAAAACTAATAATAAACAAGTCTTGAAGAGTCTTTATATCCGCGATTTTCTTGAATCGTTTATACTCAGCAGACGGAATGGTTCAAAATGTATTCTTGGCACTNACGTTTAATTGACAATCATGCAGCCCAGAAACTACGTACATCGAAGTAGACAAGATATAAATTATTGTCCATACCTAAAGCATTAATTTGGGTGATAAATATAATGAAACTCCCTTTGATCATAAAGAAAATATTTTAGTGCATCAAAATCGGCCAGTACTGTAATTAAGTTGATAAACAATATCGTATTTTGTTGTGATTTTATTCTCAGATGTGGCAAGTGAACCGATATTAGTGGATGAACCAGTGATACCTCGTAGAAGCAAGAAGGAACCTTCAACACCAAACAGTGAGTTGTTTACAATCAATGACTTAGTTCTCTCTTTTATGTTTCGTACTGTATCGAACTAATCAATGGGTTCTGGGCGGTTTCATTCCCAAAGGCCATTTCTCAATTGCTTTCCCAACTCTTCCCGCCATATCAGTTCCCAGAGAAGTAGAATCGACAGCTCTCCCCGTGGACTCTCTGGACTTAGCTTCGGTCCACCGTCTACCGACTGTCATTATTCTCGCACTACTGATCGCTGCATTCTTGGTGGTGATTGGATGTGCATTTATTTGGATCTATTGGAAACGGAAGCACTTACGTGAGGTCAAGCATCGCCGCGCATTGACCATACCTCCCGATGTACACATGGATCATGCCGATGGGATGGTCAACGGTCGAATCGGGAATATATACCCAGTGAATGCTCAACTTTTGAATTCCAATGGTACTCTGTCAAAAAGTATGTTTCGTGTAAAGGGTTTATCTTGTCATCGCGCAGTTTCTCTTATAATTTACCACTTTTGTCCTCATTCACCAGTAACTATCACTTATTGTAGCTAACGCACACCACTCTAGGGGTAGTCATTATTCTGCGTGCTTCGAAAACTCAAAAGATGTTGGACAGCAGCATTGATCACTATCATGGCGGCCAAGGGGTTATTTATTAGAATGACAACAAAACTCCTTATTTCTGCACCTCTGTTTGTTCCCCGGCGATCTTTTGATTGACCACAATTCTTTTTCTATAACTAGACTATGCAATTCCCCATGGTATATTACTAAATGCGCTTTGACTCATAACTAAACGTATTCATCGATGTACCGTATATTACCTGAGGTTTCTTTGGACTCGGAATTTGTGGTGAGGTGTCTGATTGTCAACTCAGCTGTTAATTTGGTCCCCTTTCCCAATGAGTATTTTATCACGCGATCCACATACATTTTCTGTTCTCTGCACATTTTAGAATGCCTACAGAAGGGGTCAAACGAGTTGCGTCACCTAATGGAACTTAATCAAACCCCTTCCGCGCGAACCATTTCTAATCACAACAGCCGCCTGTCCGGTACAGCCAGCGGACCGAGTGATGAAATGTCCGAGATGGATGTTTTTAACACTACGGTGGCTGGTCTACCACAGACTGCACTAAACGCCCGACTGAGTCCAACACATCTGAGTCTTTTAGCTTCATTGAAACGATCCTTGTTTGGTATTGGGAAGTCTAATTCTAAATGTGTTCAGCCTCCAGGACAGTGTGGTACGACTGCTGGTTTCAGTTCAATGCAACAGTCTTTGCCCACTGGATCGAACAGCATCCTAGCTTCAGGGCTATACGATCCGAGTGCGGTACAGCCTTACCCAAACAACGGGAATGGCAACAACCCCCAGCACCATAACAATAACAGCAGCAACAATCATATGGGTGTCTTTCATGCAACCTTGTCCAATCCCACTGGCGCAGTGTCGTTCACAGACCAGGTGAGAATTTATTTTGATTCACGCGTTTTTTGTTCAAATGAGAGAAGAATGCACATAGGCAGCATAATATCCACCGATTCGTTTGTGACGGGTGACTAATAAGTACTGTGTAAAAGATGCATGTAAACTTACTTCATCCAGTGAATCACATTTGGCTTGCAAATTTTCGATTCACCACAATTTTCAACTTTCAACACACTCAGATTTGAAAAATTACAGTAATCTTAATTGTGTAAGCATCGCCGAATAATCATAAGAACGTAGGTGGAAAACTCACTTGTTTTTTGGTGATTCATCAACTGGATAATCTCATTTCCGTAAAATAGATTATACGGGGATATCGAAATTCCAAAGGACTGTAGTAGTTACTCAAACATTCCGCATACCATATCTTGAAAAGCAATCCACTAATTGCTCATTCAATTGCGAACTAGATATTCCTGAGATCCACTGTGATTTTCCGAAAAAGGGAATCTTTGAATAAGATTCACAAAAAGTCGACTAACTGGATTGTTGAAGTTGTTGCTTGGTTGTTAAATAAAGGTAATCATCTATTGGTGCTTAAAAATCTATCGGAAAAGTATCGTTAACAGTAGTCACAAGTAACTTCAACAATGTGCAATTTACCTGATGTAAAGCTGCTAGTCGAAATCATATTGGGCATCAACATCTTTCGAGCACCCTAAAAGCCTGACCAATTCTATTAGTACACACGGCAAAATGCCTTGCTATATGCTTATAAAATTATCCCAGATTTCTGGGATAATCATGAGAATGCTGCTCAGTCGTGATGGAACTTTTCGGTTAGCACAGACCAAGGTTTGTGTTTTACATTATTCTGAAAAGACTTTATCGAGAAGAGCCATGGCTCTAGCACCATGATAAACAGAAATTTGTCGCTGAGGTTAGGTGTGCAAAACACCCGAATTCCATATATGTAGATCAGTCAAGTGACTTGAGAATGTAATGACTAATAGCAGGGCTACTCTGAACATAGTCCCATCTAATGTGTACCACACTAGACTGCTGTGATCGCCGCACTGAATCCCTTTCCCCGTTTTAATTACATTGGAAACAACAAACAAAATCTCTTTAATTCGTTGCTAGACTATTAGTCTCATGAAATAAGTCGATCTAATTACCAAATTGGTTGATTGGGCTTGTTTGGTCAATTGTCGTTATGTTTTGCGATGTTCTGTTTTCCTGCATATCAATGTTTGATCTATCTTAACATCATTGCATTCATTATCTGTTGTCTTGGTCACGTGGTACTGAATACCGGAATCCTTTCTGATTATATCTTCTCTCCCTTTGAATTAGATGCTGCAAGCTGGTGGTCCGGTTACCTCAGTCCTTTCTCTTGAACTATCCAACCCAGGAGCATCGGGTATGCTCCTGAGCAGCCCAGTCTCAAATCCCACATTGATGAATGTATCTACAACCGCTCCGACCGGTCCAGATTTACATTCACATGCATGGCGAATGCAAACCACAGGATCAATGAATCCCATGACTGTTAATTCGGTCGGTGCTTCTTCCCTTCTGCTCGGATCCATTCAACCGGAATTGGGTTTGTATACGACCGTCAGTGGAGAATCGGATGGAGATAGCAACTGTGCCAGTAAGCTGTTATTGTGACCGTTCCGAATGATAAGGCACAGGAAGAAAGCGTTTTTCCATGTTCTCTGTATCAATACACTTAGTGCACATTCAGTCGGTTTGTCCACCATATTTTCACAAGGAATCGATTCGCCAGTTTATCTTATCCTAGGGACCGCTAACAATTTAAGCTACTTGATTGCCAACATGAATCCGTGAACGATTTTGACAACAAAAAAGCGTTCTTCCGATTGTTATCAATTTCTTTTTACTCCTGGATATCCGGATTTATTTTTGTCAAGATAATTTCGGGAGTGGATGAGGAAAAATTGATTTGGCAACATACTTGAGACCTGTCGTATTATTGACTCTGATTTGGCGTCGATTTACTTATCTAAAATTATCTAAATCTTTATCTTGATAAATTAAAGTTTGTTACTGGTGTTCCTGGGCTTACCACATATATCATACTCACTTAGGCATGCGCCACTATACGTAATCTTCAGTATTCATGTTTTCAAAAATCAATAAAATAAAAATCTATGCTTTCCCGTCACGGGAGTTAGGAAATAAAATAACCAATCTTTATAAGACCGATTTTGTTTTGTGCCAGATTTCGAATGATGTCTGTTCTAACCGAAATGAAAAACCACATAAGCATTTGAAGTTCATCTCAGCCTTTTTTCATCCACAGCTAAATGTGTTAGGGTTGTTTTGTCTCTTTTATGGTTGACGTTCGATATCATGAGCATACAATACACCGTATATTCATTACCGTTGTAAAATTTCTGTGGATGATTCTTGAACCCGTTAAGTTGCTGGAGTTTGATTTATTCGGTTAGCTTAATTGGGCAAACAACCTTGTACCGAAATTCTAATGAGTGTTTTCCTTTACTTAGATCATGTTTTTTATAAATTACAGTTTTGATTTGCATTTCACCATCAAAATCACCACTCAAGTTGTTACAAGCACAACGAGGCTCAAGTAATATGATAGTTTCATACGATATGCGGGATTGGCGTAGACGGAAGGAAATATTAATAAACGCGGTTATGACCAGCGGGCGGTTATTTTTGTGTGTAACGATAAGGAACGTTTCGATTTGCAAGGATATTTTTTTGTCAGAAAATGGAAAAACCGTTAATAACTGTTCACTTGTTTGTATATGCTCGCATAATTTTTGTATATATGGAGTGGAACTACGTTTAATGAGTATGACCCCACTGTTCTTACCCGGGGATTTATGGTAGCTAAATTTTGTGGGGCGAAACTCGACTGTGGTCTTGTAAAATAGCTGACGTTTGTCAGGTTATTGGAATAAGGTTATTCCCAGATCAGACTGTTACACAGTGTCTGTGAGGCCTTTTCTGGTCTTTCATTTCCATGAAAATGATTGTGGGGGGGGTCTGTAAATAGAATTCTTCTTCTTATCCTTTAGGATGAGTGTTTTCTATTACTGCGCGATACGTTCGCCTACATCACGAGTACAATAAGATTGAAATGCCGGATACACTTTGGCTACAGTGTATCAGTTTTTGGACGCCACATAAATTAGAGTATAATTCTCATAAACCCACTGATTTGCATTCATTGAACACTTCGCATGTCGTACTGTCAAAACTAGCTATGTGATGGCCAAAAGGCGCTGCCGAGATTTAGCAAAATAGCTGCATGTTCCTCAGGTGTTTTAACTTTTTCATCCTGGAACTCGAATATTCTTGTCATAGGTTATCCACGCATGGTCGAGGAAATGACAACGACTTAGAAGAACCGAGTTCCTGATATTTTATAAAGGGATGACGTTTTCTACTGTGGACTTCGATCATCTTCGTTACTCATTCACCAGTAGCGCAAATGATCTTAAGACTTCGCAGGGCAGTATTTGGATTCAAACTGCTGAATAATTATAACTCGAGCTCTTTCAAGGAGTTTGGAGTACGTTGCACATGCTGCACTTGGAACTAATGCCGCAAGTTTGCTGCTCTTCGTCTGAATCAACTCTTTTCGCGCAGCAAAATTTGGATTCCTATCAGAAATAAGCGTGAATCATGTTAGAGCAAAAGATGCTTGTTGGGGTGAAATTAAATTGGTTCACGTAACACTTCTAATTAATTACCACTGGAATGGAGAATGCTTATGAAGTTCAAATTTTAGACAGATTTCGAAAACTTGTTCCCGCTTGTCAGAATGGTTGCCGTGTTCTTTATTCTGCACTCGTCAAGTGGAATAGCTCGTTCATTGGGACATGATCGAATTAGTCTTTTTCTCACTGTTTGATCTTCAGGTACCATGAGTCCGGAATACGCCACAGCTGGGAATATCAATGATCAACTTAGTTACAGTAACGCTCTGTCGCAGTTGCAACAACATCAACAACACCAACAAGCTGCTGCGGCCGCTGCTGCTGCCCTTCTGACCCTTAATCCGGCTTGCTCAGTCACCAACCTACGTGGCCACATGACATATGTGCCTCCAAGACAAGCTGGTCTGATCAGTCCATCTTTGACGTTCAGTGCGTTACCCACCCCGTCTACAACCATGACCAATCGTACCTTGGCTGAACCGAATTCGTTAATCTTCTCCAACCCAAGTGGTACAGTTGGTCCACATTTGATCTCAGCCAACCCCATGGACCTAGCACTGGTAAATTCGGCCCAGTTTTATCAACCCTATAGCACCAATAGCCCCGTCGCATTGAACTCGTGTGTCACAGCGAATTATCTGTCCGATGGCAAGCGACATTTTGCTCCCGTTGGATCTACGGCCATGTCCATTACCAATCCTGTCCTATTCAGTCGTATGTACGGAGCATCAATGCAGCAGCAGCAGCAATCCCAATCCACGCAACAGCAACAACACCAGACACAGGCAACATGCTCAACTCAACCAACACAAACACCTCGACTGAAACGTCAGCGTGACATTTCCGGTGAGTCCAACCTCCGTTATCCTTTAGCCCTCAAAATCCATTTATGATATCTATCTACTAACTAATAATGAGTAACATCTACACAATCTGAAATCCCACTACTCTATGCAGTACCACTGCTCGTTCCAGTCCGATTGTCCTCACGCTACTCCCCCTCGAGCCTTAAGCACTGCCCACTGCTATGTGATACAGGAGTGTCATAAACACACCAGTGGGTAACGGGAAGTATTGAGAACATCTCCCGTCAGCTCACATTTGTCTGTAATCAGTTGTGCTGGATAAGTTCCATTGACTTGGAATGGCCAAACTATATCCTCACACAGCCTCAACTCAGCCAATCAACCATGCGTTCGAAAAGCATAGACACAAGTTTTGTTCTTGTTAGAGCTCTTCAGTGGTGCATATCCAACGATCCGAACTGGTGCTCAAGCATGTGAGGTTGTGCGTGCCATCACCGTGCCACGTTCAGGTTGCAAATTGCAGTGAACTGTACGGTTAGGGACGAAAGTGACCACGGAATATGTAACGTTGGGAGGACATGAGTGAGACCAAAGTTGATCCCTTCTTGTTAAGTATATTTGTAAAAATCACGTTTTATAGTTCTTGATTTTAGCGTAATGGAGTGTTACCAATGATGTTAGGTTTTACAAATTTGATTGTAAAACCTGCCTTAAGAAAGGTTACTCACGGTAACCGAAACGTCGGCGTATATAATTCTCTACCGACATCACTGTGTTATTAACACTATAACATTCAGAATGTTAACAACGTTGACAAAAATAAGTGCTGTCTTGTAGGCTTATATGATCGTACAGTAGATGATTCACTGAATGTTGCCCATTTCCTTGTAATTTAACATGTAAAACCCTTTCACGAATATCGTACATGAGTGGACGTGGGACCAAGGGAAATGTTCCTACTATACCTCTCAGTTATCCTCACTTAAATTCTCAGAAAAGGTTTCCCTAATTTGGAGCTGTGACAAAGCATGATTTGCATCACATCATCATCTACCAGTAACAGGTTTATATTACGAATATTATGTAATACATACGCCGGAAGAATGAAAACCAACTGGTTGATGACTAACTGTGAGGGAAATAGATTCGTCCAGAATATATATTGTCCACCTTGAACGGTGCGATTATTTCCCTCTCAGATGATCAGTATACGCTTGCTTCTCACAACTAACTTTTAAAGTGAATAAAACAGGTTGGAATGTGATCCACGATGTGCTTGACTTCAATGTATGCGAAATATCTAGCAGCTAAATAAAAACAATCCACGAAGAAAGAAACGTTTACATTTACTCGTCTAGATCTCCTATTATTGAGATTTGCGTTTAGCAATATTACTCTTATACCGGATTGACGTCTGATGATAGAGTGACTCGCAGAAACCGAACCCCCGAATTCGCGTCAGAACACAAGGCTGAAAAATCTACGTGTACTGCATAATGGATCATGAATCAATGG